TCTATTTGGGATAGTTGCAGGCTTTTGTAAAAGATGATGGTAAAGATGCTGTTGTGGGAAAATTAACTTTTTTTTTTAAGTTATTGCAAAAATAATAATTTCATGGCATAAAAATTATTAAAAGTATTATTGCAAAAATAATAATTTCATGGCATGAAAATTTATTAAAAGTAATGAGAAAATAATTATCAAACAAAAATTTTGGTTGTGATTTAAAAAGCAAAACAATATGAAAGTTGTCCCAATCAAATCGTAAATTAAAAAAGAATGAAGTAATAAAAATATTGCTGGATTTAGTTAAACAATTAGATCGGACGAAAATTCGATGACATTCGGTGGTCGGGTGGAAATTTGGCGTTAGTTGGCGATCGGACGGTAGTCCAGTGTCAATTGGCGGCCGGGCAGTAGTCGGATGAAAGCTGGTGGTCAAGAGAAAATCCGACGTTAGTTCGTGGTCGGGCAAAAGTCCAGCGTCAGTCGATGACTGGGATAAAGTTTGGCGTCAGTCAATGGCCGGTCGGAAATCCAGTGTCAGTTAGTGACCGGGCGAGTTCGACATTAGTCGGAGGTCGGGCTAAAGTTTGGTGTCAGTCGGTGCTCTAACAAAAATCCAACGATAGTCCGACAATGGTCGACAGTGGTCGATGGACTGATGATGAGCCGCTCAATTCAAATATAAGCATGTCACGTTTGGAAATTTTTTTAATCATCCAAATTATAGTTGGAACGTTCCAAAGGTGCTCAGGGTCTTCGATTTGGACCCATTTGAGCTTGGATTGAGTCAAATTTGATGTCGTTGGGTTTGTATTTTCAACCAAGATTCAACTATAAGTTGGCTAAGCTCAGAGTTCATATGGTTTCGGATTTAATTCAATTTTGCTTCGAGAGTCGTGTTCGATCAAGATAAAATTTTTATGATATATCATACTTAAACCTAGTTCCTTGTTATATTTTTCATAGTTCTTTTCAACCAAGATTCTTTCTTTTATCTATTGTAGCAATGGGCAATGAAAGAAACAGTAGTTAAGTAGTTCATTACAATCAACTACATTACATTTTAAATTTATTCTTTGTATCTGTCTCCAAAAGTATTAAAGCTAATGAAAACAATTGATTTGTAGGAATAGGAGGAAATGCAAATGCATTTAACTTTATAATTTTATGTTTGTTGATTGATTTTTATTACAAGACATTGATAATAATTAAATATAATAATAATTTGGCAGCTTTGCTCCAATATGATAATTGTGAATTTTACCAAAAAATAGAAAAATAACAGTTGATTGATTTTGGGCTTAAAGTATGTATCAAATTAGGACGACACATATGTGTGGGAAATGATCCACATAATTAGCCACAACAATATCGATGTGATCATGTGAAGGGAAAACAAAGTAAAAATAAGACCAATAGGTTAGTCATTGAAATAATGTGAATACAAATAAAGAAAATTGATGAAGGAATTCAGTTCACCTGTTTGTGAGGGCACAAATGCTTAGGGACTATTTAAAATGACCTGTTCGAGAGAAGAAGAATAGAGGCTTAGGGCGAACGTTGCAGTGAGATGAAAAAGATAGGCAAGGTGCACAAGTACTGACACTTATCACGTTCAACAAGCATCCAATATGAACACAACAAATTCTTTTTTTTTTTTAGGGAAAACCCACAACGGGGCCTATGCGTTAATTAAAATAAAACATACAAGTACTTAAAGAACCAAATGCACACTAAAAATAAAACATTTGAAATAAAACTTAGGAGCCAATGATTTAACCTATTACAATAAAGAAGCAAGAGGGAAGAAAAAACAACAAAACCAAAGGAGCACAAACCTAGAGCAGAAATAGTCAGCATGAGCAATCCATCTGCTAAGGAGCAACATGGACTAAATAAATAACCTACAGGGATAACAAAACATACAACCTGTAAAGACAAAAAGAGAAAATAGGAGCCAAGTAGGCTAAAAACAGCGCAGGCCAAAGAACACCCCACAAAAGACACTTAAAACCTCAAATCACAAGCTAAACAATTAATCTAAAAGGATAACCAAAGACTAATTAAAGAATCAAGACAAACCTATCCAAATAAAAGTAAAGCATAATCTCAAACGCCAACCACCAACAAAGGCCCATAATGAAGCCAAACAAACCACGGAAAAGTAATGAAACCAAAACAAGAAGCAACACCCGAAGCCCAATCGAACAGGAGCAACAAAATAAAGAAAATAAACTCCACTAAGAAGATTAATTTTTTTTTTTCTTTTCTCGTTTGTGTTTGCCATTTTTATTGAACAAACTTTTGTCAGCAATATGAATAACATTTAAGTCATATATATCCTGAGAATCCATCCCTTGCATTACCATTTGTTCCCCAACATCACCATTAGTAGAGGATCCAGAATCAGCAAGCCAGTCACCTTGAATCACCTCATTATCGTTTGATTTTGCAATAAATTGAGCAAATAAAGCATCGTTAGCAACAATAGATATAGGAACATCAATGAGAGAACCTTCAACATCCACATCCACAAGATTTTCACCATCTGAGACAACTACACTATTAATAGCCATATCATCCACACCAACACTAGCATTTCCACTCTTAACTACAAGCCCAAATCGTTAACAGCAACACTGACCATAGGAACCCTGGAGAAGATTGACCTTAAAAAACCACAACATCATAATCACCTCCAACATTAGAGATAAGAGACTTAACGGGACTAGCTATAAGGTTAACCAAATAGGGGTTGGAGTCCAAAATTAAATTTTCACCTTCTCTGTTTTCATAGGATAAAACCATGGGTAAGATTGCAGTCAACGGAGCAAGGACCTCATTAGTGTGACCGACAACATCAATATCAACATTCACCTCATATCTCGTTTGTAAGGGAATTCCCTCATTAATCTTTACATTCACCTTAATATCTACATTCACCTCATTAATCACTATACTATCCATTGGCAAAACAAGAATTAGAGTTGGAGCATTATCCAGATTTTTCACAGCACCAGTTGCAATTCCATCTGAATTAAAATCAATCTTACTATGAATAGTAGTATCAACATAAACCAATATCGAAACAGAGGAAGGAGTGGGGCTACATTGACCTTTGGAATGCCCGATACATTTACATTGAGCACAAAACGGAGGGAAATCCTCCATTACAACATGTTGGATATAGCTGAATATTTCAGAACCTAACCAAACTCTATCAGTATATTTTTTTGTAATGTAAAGCTCAACCAATATATGCCCTACAGAATGACGAGAACCCTTTGCGGTCTCATTATCAACTTTTAACGGTCGCCCAAACAGTAAACCCATACTGTGAAGAATTCAAGGGGAGAAGAGGTGTGGTCACAGGTTAGGGAAAGATAATCAAATGGGGATAACTGGGGATTCAACACCTATATCCACTAAGGGAGACCATTTGGTCACTTTCATGTAACCGTTGTTAACCAAGTATGATATATGGCAAAAAACTCTGCTGTAGTCAAGATCATTATCCAACTTAATCAAGACATGCGACTGATCCAACAAGGTAATACAAAATTCACCATTTAGCTTAAGATTGAAGAAAAAAAAAATCCAATAGATTTGAGAGAGGGGTGACGGGAAGGAAAGAAGCCAACTAAAGCAAATTGTAGAGGAGCCGTCAACACAAGAATCTCCTCCTTTAATATCCATAGAAATGGCAAACCACGAGGTAGTAGTCTTTAGGTCAGGAAAACACCCACTAGAGGAAGAACCATATAACGCCTCAAGAAACGAACGAGACCTGGTTGACCCCTTTAAAAAACCAGGGTTGACCAGCCGATTCACCGCCATTTTGCTAAGCAGAGGGGAACGAATAAAAATTTTTTTTGAGAGGACCACAAAACAACACAAGGGAACACTAAATAATGAAAAAATACCCGTTAAAAGGCACATGAGAGAGGTGACCATCGCCGTCAAGAGAACGACTGGAGAGGGCATGCAAACCCAAGTAGAGCTTCCAAAAGAGCGATGATGCTAAAAAGATAATAAAATTGATGTGACAATACATATAAAAAAATGCTAAAAAGATAATATGGACAGATCTCACTTAATTACCCTACACAATTCTCATTTATGTTTGTACTTTTTCTGAGTTCCTCCTTGTGCTACCTTCCATCAATTGGCCCATAAACACAACAAACTCAAAGAAGAAGATAGAGCGATGAAGGGATTGTGTGTGTGTGTGTTTTTTTGTCTTTAAATATTAAAAAATGATGCGAAGAAGTGGTTGGCAAGGAAACCATGAAATGAAATAAATAAATAAATAAGCAAAAAAATGAACGCCAATATTTAACACAAAAAAAATTTGAAATCGAGAAAAAAATCATGAAACCACATCACATCAAGAAATTCACCGTAAAAGATAGGAGAAATTGTACATATCTCTTTCTCTCGCTCTCTTCTTATCTCCTTTCACTTCTTCACACTTTTCTATCTCAAAACTAATAAAGAGGTTCACTTATGCAACATAAACGAACACATTCATTCAAGTTAAACATGAAAAACAAAAATGAAAACTGTCCAACACAACTCTCATCGTCTAGATTTGGACCGTAAGAGCACTCTACTATTTGTCTCCAACAAATTTATAGTGTGGCATTGTTAGCTCTGAAGCACCGTAGCACTTCGGTCTATATCTCCAAGTCAAGTTTATTGTGCTGACGTCTTATAACCTGTGACGCTACATCACATAAGTGTACAATATTGTAGCACCATAACATACAATGTCATGACGCTATACCAATTTTTTTTCCCATGAGTAAGACCCCTGAATCCTTCGAGGTCCCTTACAAACCCCGACAAATTTGACCAATAAATTGAGGTGCGTCAAAAATATAACTCAGTTAATCAACATAATAGATTCCAGTCAAAACTAACATGACCATATGCAACGGTAGAGAGCAATCAAAACAAATCTCTATGCGACCTCTATAAATAAATAAATAACACCCTAATGTTGGAGCCTATTTGGCGAGCTATTTGTATGAGCGACCGTCCCAAACGGATCGCTTGAAACGTTTTTGTTTACCTCCAACTTCCGAAGGGATTAATCATTAATCGACGCCGAGAGAGAGAGATGTCTGTGGGAGAGGACGGAAGGCATGTCCTGGAGACGGGGAGAGCGGACCGATCGGTCTGGCTGATGAAGTGCCCGGCAATGGTATCGCGGTCGTGGCAGTCCGCCGCTGCGCCGTCTTCCACGTCGGATTCCAGCATTCCTAACCCTGTCGTAGCGAAGGTCGTGCTCTCTCTCGACCCTGTCCATGGAGACGAGCCCAACGCACTCCAGGCAAGCGATTTTTTTCGATACCTAATAAAGCGACCATATTCTGTTGCCCGGGATTCTTGGTCTTCTCCTGCTCTTTCCATTGGGTGTTCTTTGAAGAACCGCTCTTCTTATTTGGGTTTTTCTAATTTCATAGGATTAGGGTGTAGAGCTAGAAACCTGGTTTCATTAAAAGGCCCTAGAAACTTACAGACATAGAACATTTGGAGTTTATAGTCTTGGAGGATGCCATTTAATACGTTCAAAATTGGAATTCCTGAAATTTAGTGTTTCAGTTGCAACTCAGGGTGGTTATGGCAGAAATAGTTGTGCTTCTAGATTTATGTTTAATATATAAAATTGAAAGCCCTCTTTTTTAGATGTTGGGGAAGAACATCGTGCAATTAAAGTGAAGGTTATAGTTGGGGTTGACATTTTATGATATAAGTTAGGTTAAATACTTAAATGACTCTTGTTTTAAATATTTTTTGTTTTCTGCATTACGCCATTATGCAAGCTGTGGTGCTCTTGAAACTAAGGATATTGTGTTATTGTCCAACGATAGGACTAAGACATGGATGTAGGGGAGTTGAAGTCACCATAAAAGTGTTCATTTTTTTATCACTCAATAACTATTTGTGTTATGCTGATTAAAAATGATCTTGCCGACTAGATATCTTTGTGCACATTCACAATGATGGATGGTCGTCCTTTCTTAGTTGATTATTAATCATTAAATGAACACTAAAGGTAGACACTTCAAAATTAACTTGTTCAAGCAGAGGGTATTGGTCATTTGTCAATTTTGATCGGATACCATCTCAATTATTCTCCAATTAGTTGAATAGTAATTTTGTTTTTTCTGTTTGTGGATGTATGAATCTGTTCCAACTATTTATTCCATTGCTACAATTGGAATATTGTTGGCATTCTGTTGTTTTCATCCTCCATTATTGTTGTCCGTGACATATTTCTGTTATTTATTATTTTCTTTATTTTGTACTAGAGTGATTTTATCACTTTGTTTATCGCTATAATTGTTATTCTCATCATAGCTACATTTAATGTGGTTTATTGTAACATTTTACTTCCATGCTAGATTTCCTTTACTGTGATCTCGATGGACTGTACTGGAAGAACCTTGAAACTCAACTTAAAGTTCTTTGCAACTAGTTCTTATTGCTGCTATAAAAATGTCTGTTAAGGAAGTTCAAATCACAAGCAATATTTGAACCATAACTTGTCTATGCAATTATATGGGATTTTAGTATTTAGCCTACATGATTATTTACTGATTTCTTCAGATCTAATTGAGAGTTTACGTTATGTAAAGGTTTAGGACAATTTAGTTGTTGATAGACAATTTTTGAGGGCATGTTTAGTTTCGTTACAATTTTTTCTTTTTTAATTTAGTTTTTTGTTTTCACTTAACCCCCCCCCCCCCCACACACACACACAAAAACTACTTACCAAATATGATCTCTTACATAACTAGTTGTTTTTAATGCCAAAAGCAGAAAGTAAGAAACAAAAGCATAACTAAATGTTCCCTTATATTTCACCATGTATGATCAAGTCTAAGAAGCTGAAACGTCTAGAGTTTAATATGCCCAAGGTCATTTCCCTGTTTGTTATGTCAGTATTCCTTAGTATCTATCATTATGTGGTTAATTGCGGAGTTACTGTTTGTTAAAATAATTGTGTTACAAATATTTTGGACAATCATTGCCCATTAAAATTTTTATCGGTTTTTGCTTACAAATAGCTAGACTCTATACATAGCGTGTAATTTTGAGGTCCGTAGTAGTAGCAATGTCTTATAGATTGAACTCTTTTAGGCTGTATTTGTAGAGAAGTATATCATATCTTAAAGCTTTTTGGAGTCACACCTTCAGAACCACTAAGGGGCTAATTAGTCTCGTTGTGAACTTCTAGATAGCTATAAACAACATGAAAAATCTTGAGGTTTGCTAGAAAGTATGGAATTTACTGGTTTCTTGATATTCATAATCCTTATTAACCTGGCTGACAAGGTTTATTAGAGGCCTAATTGCGCGTGTTGCTTCATTTGCCTGTCTTCCTATGTCTAAAACCTTTTCTTCCACGTTTTATGTTTATGTGATGGCAGTTTAAGATGGAGTTGGCTCAGAAAGATGGTGGTAATACACCCAAGAGCTATTCATTGAACATGTTCAAAGATTTCGTTCCCATGTGTGTTTTCTCCGAATCAAGTCAAGGTATGGATGCCATGTTTTGAGCAAGAATTTTAAATAAATGCCTATCATTTGCTTTGTCTTATCATTTTATGACAATTGCAGTTAGATAAATAACTATGTATCTTGGTTTGGATATCTTTATTGTGTCAGCTAGTGCTTTTTTGCTTTCCATAGCTCGTGGGGGCTTATTTGGTATTCCTTCTCAGCTTTCTAAGTTTAAATTCTTGTTCTCGACAATGACATGATCGTCTTCATCAATGAATATCTGACAGTTTTCATGACAAATGGATTTGTAGAGTTGCTTCTGGTGATTGCTCTTATGGCTGCATGCTTTTTAATGTTTTATGTTTCCTGTTATGAATTATTTATTTTGTCTACTGAAAAGTCGGGTGATTGTTCTTTGATGCCATTCTTTGAACTTCTTTTATCTATGTTTTGTATATCTTATGTTATGTTTTGACTTGCATTGGGTTGGTCTACACATGCACAACATGAAAACTTCTATTTTTGGTCTCCAGCATTGGTTTCTTTTTTAAAAAACTCTGATAAAAATCACATTCAAAATTCAACTCCTATCATTTAAATTTTTTTTTTTGCCAAAACAAACTAGCTCTTAGTGAAGCATGAATGCTTGCCAATAAAATATATTTATGCTAAGTATAAATATTATTAAAAGTTAACGTGGAACATGTGTAATCACCATCTATGATAGTATTTAAAGTTTCTTTATCACTGAAATTGATTTCATTTATTTGAAGGATCATGTAGATTGAAGGTTTGTGAACTATTCTAATGGACCTTAAAAATTTAAGATGATAAGGTTGTTTGATAACACGATCTACACCACTGCATTCATCATATTGAAATTACTTGCATGTTTTTTCATAGTTTTCTAATGACTATTTATATTTGCTTTGTATTTAAAAAACCCCAGCTTTTGATTGCACTCATTAGAAGTACATACATTCTTTTGATATGCATCTATTTGAATCTTTAGCATTTGAGAAAATGTCTATATGAACCTCAAACATATTAATTTATACATTATATCTAATCTTTTTTATCCTCTAAGGTGTTCTTCGTGATAATGCTACAAAGCAGAAGATACCAAAGCTGCGCCACTCCTGTTTTAACCATTAAAGATTAACCTCTTCCTGAATCTTATCCATAAATTTAAAATAACCTCTGCATTGGAATTATGCCGAAGTTCATTACTTGTATAAATACTGAGAGTATGAATGGAAATAGTAAGGGAATATAATACAATTTTTGCTCTCTCAGTTTCTTCCCTATCTTCTTCGTGCCTGCATTCTCTTCGTCTAAATCTCTATGGTATCAGAGTCCTTGGTCTGAATTTCAAGCTCTTCAAATCTAAGGAATGTGGATTTTGGTTCCTCCTTCTCCAACTCTGAAAAAACTTGACTGTAAATGGATGTTCAAAATCAAATATAATGTCAATGTCACCATTGCTCGACACAAGGCTTGTCTAGTAGCCTAAGGTTGCAAACAAGAACATGGAGTTAATTTTACAGAGGTGTTCTTCCCGATTGCAAAATTGCCAATAGTTTGTCTTTATTACGGTTGCTTTTACAAACACCTGGATGTTTATTCAGTTGGATGCATCTAATGTTTTTCTCTATGGCAATCTAAATGAAAAGGTGTTTGTTACAACCACACAGATTCAAGAACTCCCTACTTCCAAATCATGTTTTCTCCTTAAGAAAGCAATCTATGGACATAAACAAGCCTTTCAATAGTAGTTTGCTACCTTCTGTAGTTATTTATAATCACTTGGCTTTAAGTTTAATGTTACTGATTCATCTCTCCACTTCCGTGAAGACATCATCCAATGTATCTCCTTATCTGCATAGGTGACATATTGCTTATTAGCAATGACTCAAATGCAGTCACCGCTATTACCGACAGCCTCCATCAGAAATTCTTAATGAAAAGCTTGTGCAACTTATCATATTTTGTTGTTATTCAAGATATTAGTTAAACTATGTCCAGGACGTACTAGTGCTCCGATATGATAAATTGCAAAATAATTTTCACTCATAGCTTCATTAAGCAACCAATAAAGCAAGCAGTTGTAAAGTATTTTTATATGTGTTGTATTATCGTCTTGTTGTAATAACCCCAATTACCATTTCCATAAATTTCTAGAAATTTGTCTGAGGGAACATTGTGGCGCACTGGCACCCTAGCAATGAGCTCTCAGATTTTTGGGGAATTAATTGGGCACAGTGGTGCTGAGGTTTTGGGCGCTGTAACGTTGTCTGAAACTTATTTTTTAATAAAAATATATAAATTCATTTTTTTAAACCCATCACCCAGCCATCCCCTCCACTTTTTGCATGCCTTGCTAGGAAAGAGAGGAGGAGAGAGAGAGTTCCGGGTTATTTTCGTCCTTCGCTCCTATTGGAAAAAATGTTCTGATCGTGTTAAGTAACTCGAATCTTATTTTTGTTCTTAATGCTTTTGATTTCTCATATTTTATCTCTTCTAAAATTGATTAAAATGTGATATCCCTTGTTTTTGTGATTTTTCACTGTACAATTTTTGATATGTGGTAGATATTATTACTTTGTGCATTTTAACTGGTTAATATTGAAATTCTATTGGTTGATTTTGCTTATTTTATTTTAATCAAAATAAGTTGTATAATATTGAATATAAAATGATTAGGAACCAATATATTGAATTTAAACATAGAATATATAATGTACACATATTTATTGTTCATTTAGGTCAACATATATTTTTGGTATACTAAAGGCATACTATTGAGTATACTGACATCTGCATTGAGTGTCTATGATATTTGATATTATAATTTATATGATGTGAAATGTGTGTAAAAGAATGAAAGTTTAGTCAGAAATGATTGATTGATTTAAGTTGGTTGGAGTCATGTTGCTTTATATAGGAGGGTGGGCCTATGGGCTTTTTTTTAAAAAAATAAGATTTATGGTGTAATCTTAAATAATATAAAAAGAGAGGCATAAGAATATTGATTGATATGATATGATATGCCGATGGACAGGAAGTGACGACTTCTTACATGATAGCTACTTGATTTGCAATATGTGATATGAGACTGATTTCTGAAAATATGATTGATATTATTGAGACTGATTTTTGTAAGATTAGCCTATAAGTCTGGATATAGGAAAAATACCATAGGTAGCCAGATGTCCTATCTTGCTTACATTGCTTGCATATGCATATGACAGGAATATATATGATAAATTATATAAATAAAGTAACATGACATGATTTATACATGATATAAGATATGACTAACAGGTGTATGATAAGAATTAATGCAAGGACATATAATATATATAAATCACATGATTATGAATTACATGATTTAATGTAAAAGTATATGATACATATGAATTATATGATATACATGATATATTTATTGGCATTGGATATAAGACATGATATACATGCATAATATATGCATTGTATGATATACATATGATGAATATAAAAATATAAATACTTGTAAATGAAAGATGCCCTAATCTACATAAAATGATATATGCTTTTTTTGTAGCTGATGGGTATAGGAATGATATAACCTATTGGTCATTTAAATGGCTACTAATTATTGCTCTTAAGATATATAGTTGCATTGATTTTTATTGTTCATATGACATGATACTATTTACATTGATTGCTACATATTTTTGCAGTTATATGCTTATACAAATATTGATCGAGTGATTACTTGCATATTATTTTTAATTAATATACTTTAATTATAGTTGTAGTTTATGGTAACCTACTAAACTGTTAGCTTTCACTTTGTGGTTTTCACATGTTTTCTAGAGGGGACATGATCTAGTGGAGTGAGGTAGACCAGGTTTATATTTTATTTCAATTTCTCTATTTTTTGTTTATTTTTTTGTAGTCAGGAGTTAGAAAGATAGAATGATGTTCTGATTGAACTTCTAACTATTGTATATAAATATTGAGAAATGAATGAAATTATAAATTAAAGAACAAAAATTATAGTTGCTTCCGCTAATTTCTATTCATTGAAATGAGATTAGTAGCTCTAGTAGATTAATTAAGAGGTTAAAATAGACAATTCTTCCAAATTTCATCTTGAACATTATATTATAGGCCTGTTGCAATACCTTACGATCACCCTTAACATCACATTAGTTGTTAGCAGTCTGTCAACATATGTATTGCCCGCTTAATATGCATTTTCAATTGCTTAACCGTCTCAGAAGATATATTAAAGAGATAAAAAACCTTGGGCTACCCATGTATTGAGACAAATTGCATCTTACATCCTATAATGATTATAATTGGGCAATTGTCTTGATTGATAGGAAATTTATAATAGTCTATTTTACCTTGCTTGATAGGACCCTCATTTATTCAAGTATTAAAAACCAAACTAGAAGATACCAAAGCTGCTCCACTTTCTATACATTTGCATCTTATCATCCAAGATTAAGTTTTTGTTGAATCACATTCATTAGTTTAAAACAATTTCTGCAATGTAATTCTGCCTAAGTAGTCCATTACTTATATAAATGCTGAGAGTATGAATGAAAACTTTAAGATGATGTTTCTTAAGAAGACTTACAAAGGAGTATAATTTGAACAAAAGAAGTTAAGAAATGATTCATTTAGGAATAAATGGGGAATGATTCATGCACTTGGGATAGCTTAAAGTAGATGATGATGATGATAATATCGTTGTTTAAAATTGTGCAATATGAGGCTCGTCTTGAGGCTCTCCTTAGCGCAATTTCGATGAAAAATGCCTTAAGGCTTATGCCTCAAGCTTTTTTTTTTTTTATGAGGCATGCATCTCAGTTTGGCTGAGGCACACCTCGCATTACTGGCATAAGGCGTACGCCTCACTCTTTATATATATAATTAAACTTAATTAAATCCTAAACTAAAGCTCCGAACAGATCAAGTATTCATGTGTCCCCGAGTCGCAATAACTTTCTCTCGACTGCCTCGACCTCCGTTGTAGCCGCCGT